GTGCCCAAGCCAGTTTAATCGCCGTTTCTTTATTTCGGTTGTGATGGTTGTCTGATGTGATCTTTTATATATTTCTTCATTTCTTATTTTATCCATTAATTTGATGTTTAGCATCCTACGTAGCAGTTTTCTTTGAAAAATATCGAGACTTTCTTCCAATTTCTTGGTTAAGGTCCAGATCTCGCAATTGTAAAGCAGCATTGGATATATAAATGTATTAAGCGTTCTTATTTTTAGTTTTATGGATGTCTGTCTGTTACAGAGAATTCTTTCATATTTGTTGATGGCATCAATTTCATATTTGTTCAAGTCCTTTCCTTCGTTTTATGTCTTTTTCGGTGTCTAAAATACTTCCCAGATATTTTATGGCCTTCCATTCATCGTTGCCATTAAACTCATCTTTAAATCTTATTCAACTTATAACTTTTTCATTAAACCAAAAGCAGTGCTTTTCAGAAACCCTCATTTGTCGTAGAGCTGCATGATTTTCAAAAAAATCCTATAAAAAACATAGTAGACCAATTGGTTGCAAGGATATTTACTCATTAGGACCTCTAACATTTTGTTCCCAAAGGTGTCGCGGCAAGATCATCCAGAAATGTCTGCTCTTTCAAAATTCAAGCAACTCTCAGTTTTCCAAAGATCAAGAAATTTCCTAGTTTCCAAAGAAGTAGTGAATATCAGTAAATAGTGACTTTGCTACACAAGGCTATGCAAGTTTTAAAAAGAAACTTGAGGACATTAAGGCTTTTTACCTTATAGGAATTCATTGGAAATTTTCACTTGGCCTTACTTGCTAACCATTAAACTCATCTTTAAATCTTATTCATCTTATAACTTTTTCATTAAACCAAAAGCAGTGCTTTTCAGAAACCCTCATTTGTCGTAGAGCTGCATGATTTTCAAAAAAATCCTATAAAAAACATAGTAGACCAATTGGTTGCAAGGATATTTACTCATTAGGACCTCTAACATTTTGTTCCCAAAGGTGTCGCGGCAAGATCATCCAGAAATGTCTGCTCTTTCAAA